TTTCGCACAGTTGTGTAAAGGGGAAAACAAATGTTTACCAAGACTTGCGCCTTGAGTTTGCCTGAACTGTGCCGCACTCAGAGGAAGCATTTCAGAGTGTGTCTCATCCATAACTGCATGGCATATAAATACAATTTCATTATGTTTCGTATTTTGTGAGGCCTAAGTATTTACCTAAAGGCTTTTGTCTCTAAACATTTGTTTGCCTAGAACTTGCTATATGCACAGATCGGGGTTTAATTAGAAATAGAAGATCCTGTGTGTTTTTACTTTCATTCTCTGCTCTGATTAAAGTTTGTTTTTCTTTCTGTTGTGTTCTTCTTGGAATTATTTTGTTTTGCTAGTCTTAAAGACTGCAGGCAGCCACACGTTTTTTCCACATTCACTTATCAGTTGGTCTTTAATTGTGTTTCGATATTGTTTTCCATAATGTAATCCCCAACTGTTACTGTTACACAATAAACCTTTCTTGCATGCTGCTTTGTGTAGAGGTTGAGGCCATTAACCCAAATAATCTTGGAAGGCTCTCCAAGCTCACAGTCAATGACAGCCACATCAGGGCAGGAACAGGCTGTTTGGAAATTTGAGAGATACAATCATAATATCACTTGCTGCCCAAGGCAAGTTTCCAGTGCCCTTATGCCAAGACAAAAGGTTGAGCAAAGATCCTAGTCTGACTGCTTTTTATCCAGACCTTGGACAAATAACTTAAACTCAGCATTTTAAGCTCTAGGAGTAGAGGTCTCTATTGTGAAATGGGGTTATGTGAGACACTTGAGAAGTGCTGGACAAATGTTAAGCAGCAGGTTATTTCATGGACTCACCAAGTGTCGATGACACCAGGGATTTCAGGAGGGTGTTTCACCTGTAACCGACCTACACGCCCCAGTGCACGGGCGTTCAGGCAGCGGCTTCCCCAGGTCCTCCCTCCCTCCCTTCCTTCCCTGCTCAGAAATCAGACCTCACCATCATATACTCCTGTGACCTTTCATATGTCTGAAGAGTACCATCTTATCTGAGAAGAAGTTCAGTGCTTTATTTCATTCGGAGACTGCTTAGGAGAAATTTTCCTATCAAGTAACTACTGGAAAATGCTCATCTTGGGACTTCTTTCCTATGTGTCCTCTAGGACATTCTTTCTCAACCACTCATCTTATAAAGTTTTGTACTGCTCTCAGGACAAGAGTAGTACCCACACATAGTTCCTAGCTAGTGTTACAGAACAGAAAGAGTTCCTCCACCCAGTGCTAGCAGAGCCAAATGCTGGACACCGAGAACTGCAGTGGAGAAATATCGCCTATTTTATTATGAATGGCGCCACCGAGGACAGCTGGAAGCTACTGCTCAAAAGCCTGAACTCCCCGATGGCATGTAGGTTACAGATTATGTAGGGCAAAGTCACCAGACACTGTAGGCTAGGGTTTTGGGCTGTGTTGGGAGCTGGTTGGTTGGAGGTGAGTTCAGGGTGGTGAATAACTTTTTCACATCTTGAGGACAGCTCTGAAGTCTGTTTTGATGTCCCTCTGTCTGGTTTTATGGGATAGTAGCTAGGAGGTCACTCCACCTTAGCACTCAGGAATGAAAACATACTAGGTTAAGATGTTATTTGTAGCCTTCCAAAGGGGGTAGGAATGAGAGGAGGGAGAAAAAGAGAGGAGGAGAGGGAGAGAGATTATTCCTAGAGCTGGGATTTAAAGCTAAATTTAATCAAAGTCATAAGGCCCCTTTGCTTTTACCAATGGCAAAGAAAAATTATTTTTTTTTTCATATCCTCAAACTCACAACTCTAGCTTGAAAGCACTGAGCAGAGTGATTATGTTGCTCGCATTTTTTATCCTGATTTGGTTAAGGAGGATCCTACCTTTTGGCTCTTTTGTTGAAGTAGCTGCCCACGATTGAAAGGCAGATAGAAGCCGGCCAAGAGGAGGGAGGCCTGCAAAACATCACGTGAGTAAAATCACATGAGACCTCCTTTCTTACTCGCGCCTAAGTTGCTTGGCTACGCTCTTACTTCTCACATCCCTCCTTGCCGCACAGACCAAGTGGGTCTCCTCTTTATCCCAAGTGTGAAATAAATGTCAATGCCAACAGCCATTATTTTGCTTTCTTTTGATGTAATGCCAGATAAACACAGGTAATGCCTTTTAACCACTGTAGCCTTTAACTTTTAGTACAGCGTTAGGGCAGCTCACTGCAAATGAGTAAATGAAAGCTGGGTTGATGGGATTTCGCATCCTTGGGACCAGAGAGAGCAATGGGTATGATCAGATGTAATGTCTAATGGACTCCAAACTGTATTTGGAAATTTGCTTGATATTTTTTCTAAGGAAGAAGTATTAGCAGCTAGAGACTGTTGACTTCCTTGGCATTGAAGACATTTGTCTGAGACCCCCCAGCGTGACAATAAGTAAGATACCCTGATGAGCAGAACTGATACATTTCCCAGGTGTGAAGTCAGTAACCGTATGTGAACTCTGACCTCTAAAATGATTTTACCTGATACATTTTAAGTCATCTCTTCAAGTACTTTTTAAATTTAAGCCGCTGAACAGGAAAAGCAGGGTTTCAAGGCTTTTTGTGTTTCATCTTGGTGCCATTTGGCCTGTTAGAAAAGACTGAAGATTAAATTTTGAGTAGACTCCAAGACAAGATATGGAAGCCAGGACTTGAATAACCTCCCTCTAAATAACCAGTCATTTAAAGAAGACTCTTTATATTTACCTTGAGAAATTATTAAAATTTTACTTCAGATAAAGCAAACACTTCAGGAGACAAATTAATTTTTTAGTTTTTTCTCATTTCACTCCTGTTGGGTGGGTGAGTTAGGCCTGTAATAGAACTTATTACTGGGAAATCCATCTTTTCTGGGTTTTTTGTTTTTGTTTTTTTTTTGATAGTACAGTTTTGTTCATAAATCAGTCTTCTTTACATAGGCCCATTCCCTTGTTTGTTACACATTCTTCCCAGGTCGGCATTTAGTTTCTCTCTTCTTCCCACTTGTCGAGTAGCATGTCTTCTGCCAAGAGATGGGAAACCTGCATTGCACAGCAGCAGCAAATTGGCCCCTTTTCCCCGGCAGAGCATTCCAGTAACACTGTATCAGAGTTTGACCTAGTTACTTCTCCCAGACGACTGTCGCCAAGTCCGTGGGGGTTTTCCTCCAAACAGAGGGTCGTGGTCTTCTATAACGTGAAGAGAGACCTCTGTGCAGACAGGTTACCTGGGACCTAGCTGCCCACCTGTGCAACCAGTGGCCGTGCAGGGGAGGGTCATGTGCAAGTGTGGTGCTCACTCCAGGCGCAGTTCTTCAGCACTTAACCTCAGTGAGCTTTTTGCAGGGCGCCACCAAAAGCAGCGTGACGTGGGCAACAGAGAGCAAGTTGCCTTTGCGCACTTCGCAGACATCTGCAGGTTTTCGTGACTCTGGTCCACCCCACCTCACCTCAGCTCCTCTTGGCCATTCTGAGAGACTGTTCATTTCTTTTTTCTCTACATAAAATTTCCCTCTTGCAGCTGCCCTGGTTGTCACCGATGGTAACATCTTCATTGAAAGGAAGAGAAATTGAAGGGGCCTCAAGGACTCTGTGACTGAGATGAAAAAGACAGGGCCTAGCATTTTTGTATAGCGTTAAATACTCTTAAAGTTTATTGGTTTAAAATAGCTGAAATTGCAAATAAAAGAATGGGATAGTGGCCTAAGGCACTGATGTGTCTGTTTTCCTGGCCCTTCGATGCCCTCACTAGGAGAGGGCTGAAGGCGAGTCACCCTGTTCGGTTAAATGAGGCTGAGATGGAGGTGCTTTGAGCTGGGTCCCCTCAGCGGCAGCATGTGTTCTGCAGGTGGAATAACCTGCTGACTGGGGGACGCTTTGGACACTCGTTAACCTTCACATGTTCCCTGGTGGAAAAGGGGAAAGGAATCAGATGTGTCAGGTTGGATATGTTTAGCACAAAACACATCTCAGAAGTGTGAAGAAAAGGAGGAAGCATTGATAAAATTAGGTGGTTTTTATACTAATTGATGCTGAATGCAGAGGAGAATTAATCACATTTAATGATTAAGTGGTTCTACCAAGTAACTGCAAAATGCAATCTCCCCAGGAGTTGCTAATTTAAAAAACTGAGACATTAAAAATGTTACTCAGTTCAAAGCAGTCTGATTCTCAACAGCAAAACTAACACGAGCATCCCGATGGGCTGTGTGAGAACACAGATTCAGGCCTTTCCAAACGATTCTATTCAAATCCGTAGGTCATGGATATTGTTTTCAGTTGTATCAGGTCTGAGTTTTGCCATTTTTATTTGTTTCTTTCAACCCATAAGGCTTTTATGATCGAAATTTAAAAAGTTCATTTATGTTGTTATTGTTGGCTGGTGTTTGGTTTTGTTTGTTTTCCCCTAGGAGTGAGAGAATATCTTTTGTGGATTTGGGAACAAATAATGGAAGACCATGTAGCTTTGGCGTGTATTGAAGCATCTATATATTTTTTAATCGAATTTATTAATGTTATAAAATGATACCTTCTATCATGTGGTAAGGTCAGGAGGGGTCAGGAAAACTGAAGGAAAAGTTAAAAGATATGACCTAGGAAGGATGAGGCTTTCATCCACAGTGCCTTGTCTTAGATTTTTCTCCTCAGTGGACAGACTTCAGTCCTTCAGATAAGCATCTCTGGTTACTGTGTTCATACTTGAACTTGATATTCCTTTTCTTGTTTGAAATGGGAATAACTCGGGATGAGTGTGTTACATACACGATGCTGATATTTTCCCAGGCACTTGTAGAATAACGCTAAACTGTGCAACTCAGGGACAGACTTTCATCAAGAATAAACTATGCTTGTGAAGGTCACGGTGACCATGACCTTTGTCAAGTAACTAGTAATAGATGTATTTTTCTCTCACAATGTCAGTGTGACCACTGAAGCTGGAAAGTAAATATGTATAGATTAGCAATTTTTCAAAAATGTGTATTGAAATTTGTTTTTCATTCCACACAGGAAGAATTTAATGGAAAACCTGACTCCCTCTTCTTTAATGATGGCCAGCGAAGAATCGACTTCGTGTTAGTGTATGAAGATGAAAGCAGAAAAGAGAACAGTAAAAAGGGGTCAAATGAAAAACAAAGGGTAAGATTTTTTTTATGCTATTGCCTTTCTTTTTATTTCTGATACTGTTGTGAATTGACAGTTAAGTGTTATTTTTGCATAAACAGTAAAGTGAAACTGGTGTTTAAAAGATCATACACCTGCCTTGGATGGTGCAGCTCAGTGGGTAGAGCGCTGGTCTGCGAACCAAAGGGTTGCTGGTTTGATTCCCAGTCAGGACACATGCCTGGGTTGTGGTCCAGGTCCCTGGTTGGGGGTGTGCAAGAGGTGACCACACATTGATGTTTTTCTCCCTCTCTCTCTTTCTTCCCTTCTCTCTAAAAATAAATAAATGAAAGGGTTTTAAAAAAAATCATGCACCATACCTGCCTTCATGTATTCTCTGCTCATTTCCTCAAGGCATGTTAGCAAATTGTTAATTTTTAATTTGAAATAGAAGTTTCCATAGGCTCTTAATGTCAGTTGGTTTCACAGCTGAAGGCAGACTCTATTCTGTGGAATTACACCCTCTGTGTGTAGAAAAGATTTACATTAAAATCACACTTGGCTGTTTGCAATTAGGTGGGAAAAATGCTACTGGTTAATAATGACGGCAAGTATAATAATGACTAGCATTCAGTGTGTACTCTCTCACAGATAGTATGTGCCTTTTGCATGTATTCTTCTCATTTAACTCTCATAACCTATGAAGTGCATTCTGTTACCTTACCATCACAGATGAACGAGTTGACCCTTAGAAAGGTTAAATGATTGGCCATAGTCACAAACTGAAGTGTAAGAAATAGTAGAGCCAAGGTATAAAATCTTATCTTGAATCTAGAACTTGTGCTCTTGACCTCACCCATATTCTGTCACCTCCCTTCCTTCCCTTTCATTCTTTGCCAGCCACTCTGCCTCTCCCTCCCTTTCCTCGGGTAACAGGGCCATATTTATGTTGAGATCTTACAGCATCAAGTAGGTAGGGTTGTAACACCTGCCTGGGTCCTCGTTACCTGACCCCAAACTCTATTAGACTAAACCAAGACAAAAAGACAGCATACGTGTTAGTGTTGCTTTTACCTACTTTGAAAACCACTTCCTCTCTGTTCGTGTGTTTTTTCTCACATTGGTGCTATCCCATGTCCAACTGTAATTGTCCTTGTCTGGACACTATCTCTGAAGTACATCATTCTTAAATGTATTTATGTCTGCCGATTCGTTCAAACCACGTGATGAAGCCTACTTTGGATGAAGCCAACAGTCCTGTTTTATCTGGGGATTTGTTTGTTTGTTTGTTTTGGAGGTTTGTGTTTGCATGGTGTCACAGGACGAGCCCAGGCTTTGGAACCTGGCATCCAGATTCTAATTCTGCTACTACTTATGGGAGCGATCCTAGTCAATGTAAGAAACTAGCCCCAAATGACAATGACTTAACATATGTGTGTTTATTGCTCACGTCAAGTCAGATATGGCATTCCTGTTTGGCACAATGATTGGACGGTACAGGCAGGGTTTTGTCCTTGCAGTCATTCAGGAACCCTCACCGTATTTGAGAGGCAGTCTCTTAACAGAGCCATCAGCATCAACCTAAATGGTAGCTGAGAGAAGGGATGCAGGTAGTTGCTCACGCTTCTTTACCTCTTTGGCCTGCAAGTGCTGCCTCAGTTGTGTTCCAATTCTGTTGATCAGAGTTCAGGAAGGTGGAAGGTGAAGTTCCTGGCTGGACTGCCATTTCTTTTTTTTTTTTCTTTTCAACTACAGTATTCTTTCTTTTACTCCCTTCCCAGCTCACCCCCCGTGTCCCCCACCTGCCTCCCCTTTCCACCCCCCTTAGTTTTTGTCCATGTGTCTTTTATGCTAGTTCCTGTAAATCCTTCCCCTTTTTCCCCTGAAATTTTCTCCCCTCTCCCCTCCTGTCACTGTCCCCCTGTTCTCGATTTCAGTGTCGTTGTTTTTATTTTGCTTGCTTTTTTGTTGTTTAGGTTCCTGTTAAAGGTGAGATCATATGGTATTTGTCTTTCAATGCCTGGCTTATTTCACTCAGCATAATGCTTTCCAGTTCCATCCAAGCTGTTGCAAAGTGTAGGATCTCCTTCTTTCTCTCTGCTGCGTAGAATTCCATTGTGTACATGTACCATAGTTTTTTGATCCATTCATTTACTGACTGGCACCTAGGTTACTTCCAGCTCGTGGCTATTGTAAATTGTGCTGCTATGAACATTGGGGTGCAAAGGTTCTTTTGGATTGGTGTTTTAGGGTTCTTAGGATGTAGTCCCAGCGATGGAATTGCTGGGTCATAAGGCAGCTCCATTTTTAGTTTTCTGAGAAAATTCCATACTGTTTTCCATAATGGTTATACCAGTCTGCAGTCCCACCAACAGTGAACTAGGGACCCCTTTTCCCCACAACCTCTCCAACATTTGTTGTTTGTTGCTTTGTTCATGATGGCCATCCTGACTGGTATAAAGTGGTATCTCATTGTGGTTTTAATTTGCATCTCTCTGATGGCTAGCGATATTGAGCGTCTTTTCATGTGTCTCTGGATCCTCTGTATGTCCTCCTTGGAGAAGTGTCTGTTCAAGTCCTTTTCCCATTTTTAAATGGGTTATTTGTCTTCTTAGAGTGGAGTCGTGTGAGTTCTTAGTAGGGGTGCCGCACTATGGAAGTTGCCACAGTGACTAGCTGTGTGACATAGGCGAATTTCCTTATCAGTGTCTTCTTTTGAGATGTCTGTTATTCTTTATATTTTGTCATCTCTGACTTCAGGGTACATATTACAGGTGGAGCATCATAATTTTATTGGCTGAGTTTTTTCTTGTTGGTACATAGAGTATTGACCCACTGTATCACTGCTGCATCTCAGATTCAGGAAAATGGGAATTCCAATACCTAGTCCATGGGATTATGGGTAGGATTAAACAAAATAGTATATAGAGGTGTTATGTAAAATTTTAGCACATGTCAGATAACATGTTAAGTCCTATCCCTTCATTTTTATTTGGGTTTTCTCTTTTATATAAAATTTTAGTTTTCAGTTATTGTTTACATTCAATATTGTCTCAGTTTTAGGCACACACCATGCTGGGTAGACAGTCATATACTTGGCAAAATATTCTCCCAATATTTTCGGTGCCCACCTGGTACCATACATCATTATTACAATATTATTAACTATATTTCCTGCGCTGTGTTTTATATCCCCGTGACTGTTTTGTAACTACCAATTTGTACTACTCAGTCCCTTTTTTATATCTGGGGTTTTCTTAAAACAGTGATCTAATATGACCAGGCATGACTCTCCTTTTCTTATTGTATAATTTTATCACTAGAGTTAAATAGCATAAAGTAGCTTATCATGTTCCTGTGGACACGTAGGGTATCTTCTGTGCAGTTGTTGTCACCATCATCAAATATTCATTAAGCATCCATATGCCAGTGGAACTGGACTGAGCACTACATGAAGTAAGTTAAACAGATCTAATCCGTTAAAGTATAAAGAAAACAGTTCTGGTTTTAGACCAGAGCTTCACAGCCATGGAAAAGAAGCCCCAGAGCTGCTTGCATTATTATTAAGTTCTGCATTCGCTTTACATAGAAACATAAGCCCCAAGGTAACCCTTATAAATCAGGAGGAAGAAAGTTATCATTAATCTTGGCGATCCCTGAACTCATGGATTGATATCCAGTGATGTGGTTTTAATAAGCTGTGCTTTGAAGTGCTTTGAGTTTCTATTTGTACACATTACTTAATTTAGACTCCACCGGGATGCAGAGGTCAGCTTCAAAATCACATTTTCATTCATTTGAACAACATTTGTGAGTTCTGCCACGCTCCCTGTCAGGCCTTATTTGGGATTTAGGACAACACCAAGGAACATATTTTTAAAATCCCATCTTCCTCGAGAAGAAAAAAAATGTCTTAATCATATTCGTTTCCTAAAGCAACACCAAGGTTGACTTTGCCAGGGGCTGATCTAAAGAGTACTGTTAAATACTTTTTTAGTGATGATGGAGAAAGATAGACATAATAGGGTCACAAAGGTCAAAAACACAGAGGGAGTACAAGGCTGCATTTCCCATGGCAAAGGAAAAATTATTTTTCTACCCAAACCTCCAAATAGCATGTTACTTTGTCCCCTCACATTAGTGAAAATACTTCATAAACTACCTTGTACCCTCCTTTTAAAAGCATAAATGATTTACATTTAGATTTTGCAAGGGGATGATTATAAGTGGTTTTGATAATAAATGTTCATTTAGCCAGTACAGTTCTTAGCATAGAAGCAGTTAGAATTTCTTTTTTACTGCAAGTAACAGGAAAATCAAACTCAAAATGGCTTAAACGCTAATAGAAAATAATAATAATAAAATTTAAGAAGTATTCTGGTGGTAGGACCATGTCTGGTTTAGTTAATTTATTGGCTTACCAAGGCGATCATTCCATCCTTTCGTCTGGCTTTTCCTCCACTGGCTTCACTTTGTCACAAGATGGCTGCCCGGAAGGCAGGAGGGGGATGCTCTTTCTCATGGTCCTTTTGTAAGGGGGAAGAAAGCTCTTCCAGGAGAGCCTTAAGCAGACTAACTATTACAGTTTATTGTCTATTACAAATCTATTCCTAAACCAAATACTGGCAAGATGAATGGACGTACCATCACAAGCATAGACAAATCAAGATGAGTCTTTCGTTTCTTGAATCATCTGATTACCCAAATATCTGAAATACCAGTTGACTTTTCCTGGTAGTGAAGAAGGGGGGAATGACTGTTCCGTGGGCAGCCAGCAGCTTCTGGCACAGTAAATGATTAAGTATATCTAAATATATTTGATCTAGACTGTGAAGAGCAAAAATGTTTCAAATAAAACAAGTTTCCACGTACTTTTCCTACACTCCTCGCTCATTTTTGCTAGTAATGCTTCGCCCATTTCATTTTTAGAGCACTTGAACAAATAGCATCATTAATCTATTTTGTGTTCCATTTGGTCTGCCACCTGACCTCCCTTCAAACAGATGCGTTCATGACAAGTACTAGTAGGATTCAAA